GAATTTGATGATAACTAATTTTAATTTGGAATTCATCTATCATTTATAAGTAATATGCAAAATAAATTCCATAAAATTTTACGTATGTCGATAGACATATTTTCAATCAATTAAACAAAATATATTTTCTAAAGGTGAGCCTTGCTCTCTAGATTTAACCTTGGTTGTTACATCTTATATTTATACGTTTTAGGGGCAGGGAACTTCAAAATATTAAAAAAAAAAATAAATTATTTCACTGAACAGAGCAAAAGGCAAATTTATGAAAATATATGACTGAATGATACTACCTTGTGCCAGGGTACTTAAAAATATTAATAAATATAAATGATTCAAAAATGTTTGCCACTGGACACAAGATTTGCGTACATTTCGAAGGAAGACATTTTCATTTAAATTTTGAAAGCTAAATGTTGTCAAAAGCAGATTTATGAAAAAATTGGAAACATATGACTGCATGAGACTACCTTTTATAATTATGCCATGGAATATTGTAACTATTTTTTCTATAATTTATATCGCACGTGAAAACTGAGTACTGTAGCATCAAGGTAGGTAAAGTAAAAAAAAAAATTGAGTGGCCTTCTAAAGTTCATATGGTCTGAAGAATTACTCGATTTTTGACATTTCAGATCGAAATTTTTAGGTTACAACTCCCACTAACGTATGCTTTTATGTGGGTCAATCTTGTAGTTTTTTGATGTCGTTGTACAGTACCCGTCTAATATTTTACGAAAATCTCAGATAATTTTGAACATTATCGATTGATTGTATTTGTTTTGAAAAAATATTTTGGATAAAAGTACGTTTAAATTTAACCAGATTTCGTTCGTTTCTAAACCGGTTTTCAACAAGCAAGCCACAATGCAATAGGAACAATTTTATGGATTCTATTTTGTTTTATAAAATTGTTTGTCTACATTACACACTATTTTTAGTAAACGAAAGCATTGTTATCTCGTATTTCATCATCATCATTAGTTAACTTTCTCACCATATAAACAAAGTTAACTATTTTTTCTTGAACAAATAACTCTGGGCATCGGACATATCCATCCCTGTGTCTTATGTTCGGGGTCTCATCGCATCTCATCAACATTAAACTGTTTTAACTTCACGTTAAGAACTGTTAAACAAGGCATCGAATTTCCGTCTCTGCTTTGCAGTTTTGTGTTGTTCTACTATTCACATTGTTTTGCTTTTGCATTATTGTTTTATTCTTTTCTTTGTCTCTTTCATCTTTCGTTTTTTCTGTTTCAGTTGTTGTGTCGGTCGCCCTCGATGATTGTTTGTACGAAATAAACTGAACACAATCTGTTATCGTCCTCTGTTTTTAATATAACAAACATCATCGACGGAATATTGTACAGTGCTCTATTATGGCCTGGCCGTTCATTCGTTTGTCTGTCGAAGCTAGACAGTTGATATACAGTCAGCCGACTGTTACCGACGCCGCATCATTTCGTTAGCGCGTCATGAATAAACCACAAACACACAGAGCTGTGTGGCTGTGTGCGTCGTGTGTTTGCAAATGTATTTTTCGTATTTGTATTGATGAGTAAGCGAGAGAGAGAGAGAGAGAGAAAGAGTGCAAGGAGAATAGCGTTTAGTAAATACAGTTGAGTCTCGATTTTTCTAATTGGATTTTTTAAATAGAATAACATTTCAATTGATGCTTTTACACCGAATGGTGTAGTTAAATTCTAGGAAACTGAACAAAAGTGAATTGTGAGTAAAGAAAACCTGTTTGTATAAAAGTACAGTAAGATCTATGAGTTTGTATTCAGAAGAACATCTATGATAATTGTATAAAAATTGTTGTAGGGCGTTATTATAATCGGGAACTGTACCGTCGTATACCGCAATGTGCATTAAAATATACAGGCATATATCAGAGTTACAAGTAAATAATTAACAGAGAATTTCTCTTTAATATTGTAAAAACAATTGTTTCTGATACAAAGTCAATTTGAAACAACACTAAAATTAATTTATTGTAAAAAATAGAAGACAATTAAAACGCCTAAAAATATGCTCTAATGTAAACAAAAATATATATATGAAAGCAATTTAGCGATTGAAATATAGATGACGCCCTGGCAGATTAATACCATGGATGGCGCCACAATACGTCGCAAAAATAGGAGTTATCGTAGGTGAATGAAATTTTGTACATGGGCTTATTATTGGTCTAGAGAGCAAGTTGCAACAAATTGGATAGATCGGAGCAAAATTTGGCACTGCTCCCACATTCCTTGGTCCCGTAGTTTTAAGACATATTTTTCATACAAATCTTTACTCTGTAGCGAACTTTTTTATAACGAACTATTTATTCGGTCCCATCTTTCAGGTTTCATTTATTTTAGTTCGGTTATAACGAACATGCTATAAATATCCAAAATACTAAACTATGCTAAACTTGCTCAAAAATTATATTATAGCTAACGATGTCAACCTTCACAAGAAATCTCAGGTTCATCGGAGGAAAAGAGAAGCAGCTAAAGTATTGCCAAAAAAGGGAAAGGAAAAGGGAGGTCTACAACGAACGAATTTGATTGGTCCCCACTATATCGGTAAACCCGTACTTTACACTACAACCTAATTCGATGAAAATTGGCAGAACACGTCTACTTATGGTGTTTTTACACGATATGTATTTTACATATGTTCTGTCACTTTATTTACATATGCAACTCGAACTCGTCATGTGAAACATACGGAAATTTCAATGTGTCAAAACGATATGCAATTACATATGTTTTTTTCGACTAGGACGCGCTCTATTTTCCTATGTGAAACATAAGGAAATCAGCTGTTTGAATGAAACACATTGTTGAAAAAAATATTTCAATTGCAAGTCAAAGAAAAGGATGAAAAGGCAACAATTATAATTTCGTTTGTAGGTGTTTAATAAAAAAATAATGTTGATTTAAGAAAAAATAAAAGTGTTTTTTGTTTATAGGTTATGTCATATGTAAAATAAATATGCCGATTTGAACACAAAAAATAAAAGTCACTATAATTTCTTATTTGAGGTTCCTGCTGCTAATTTTGACACACGTAAGGAAATACATATGGATGAAATAAGTGACACCACATATGTAAAATACTTATCGTGTAAAAACGCCATTAGGATTTTGTATATTTCCCATATAATGGGTGTTGCCATTTTCACACTTTTGGCCTACAAAAAGGAAAGAAAATACAAATTATTAATAGACTTATGTTTCGTTCCAGAACCCGCAAGAATGTATTATTTTTGCAAGTTTTGCAACTTTTTACTAGAAACCCGTTCCTGAAAAAATAAAACTAGTAAAATTTTCAACCAAATTTAAGAGAACACTAAACGTAGTCTAAGAGTGTCATCTTCTGATTGACTATTGCGTTGAGTTTGAAGTATTGACGTCTAATTTTGACAGTCTTACTAGTTTTTCGTTCCAAAACTTTTCGTATTATTTTCTACTCTGTGATAGATTTTGACATTTTTCCTTTTACTAGATTTATTATTAAAAAACTACTGGAACAGACCATTTGAATGCAAGCATTTTTTTATTTTATTCGCGATGTCATGTATTTTCTATTAAATTGTTCAATTTTCCTTGATGTCATCTATATTAGTTTCCAAAATCTGGTCACCTTTTTTATACTATTCTAAACAGCTAGGTTTTGATATAACGATTTGCACATCGAGTCGATTTAGAAGGTATAGTTTTAACGCGCCTTTATATTTTATATTTGACTTTGAAAACTGTCAAAATCAATTTATGATCCTGACCCTTTAAAGGTAGTTTTATGATCCTAAAAAACTTTTTACCGGGTTGACCTACTTTATGTGGATTTATTTGACATACATGTAAAGGTATTGATAATTGAAATCCACTGGGTTAACGAAATCCGGTTAAATATAAACGTACTACTAGGTGCATTTTCGAACCGAAGTCACTATGATTTCATATTTGAGGTTCCTGGTGGGTACAAAACGTTATCGCGGAAGATTTTAAATATATGTTAATGCTTTAAACCATGGGATAATTACAGAAGGTAGTTTCATTTGAGAATCTGATGATGGCAACCCTTGCTACTAATCTATAATTTGAAAAGAAATTCCATTAAATTTTATGTATGTCGATTGGCATATTTTCTAAAGCTAACATTGCTCTCAAGATTCAACCATGGTTGTTACTACTTATTTTTTTAAGTTTTAGTGGCAGGGAACTTCAAAATATTTAGAAATATAAATTATTTAGCAATTTTTGTCACATGCGTACATTCGAAGGTAGATATTTTCATTTAAATTTTGAAAGCTATAGTATTCAGCTTTTTCAGCTTTTTTTTCAAAGGGAAATTTATGAAAAAAATGGAAACATATGACTGCATGAGACTACCTTGTATAATTATGCCATGGTAGGGAATATGATTTAGATATTGATTCATTTGCAAATCAAGAAAGTCCTTCTTACCTTCTTAAAACTAACATGTTTTAGAAAATATTTTTCTATATTTTTCAAAACGTCACAAACACAGCCACACATTTTCTACACCTTGGCATAACAAGCCACAATTGGAAAGTTCCGGTACTGCAAGAATGTAAAATTTTTTACGATTTTTGTCGATATCATAAAGGAAAAATAGTTATATTAGTAAAAAATTATACATTCTTGCTGGTTCTGGAAAATACCAAATATGAAACAAATTGTAATTCATGAATAATTGTACCATGGCTAATGCTTTACATATACCTTTAGATTTCAGAATTTGCATGTTCTAAAATGTCAAATATATATAACAACAACAGCGTATATTTATTTTAAAGTTGCTCTTTCTTTCACGTCAACATTTACCACACTGTATTATTGTACTATTTATTGATTTGTTTCCTCTGTATCCATAACAAATTGCAATTGAATTGTAATTTTTGAATTAAGACAGCTAAAAATAATAAAAGCCATTAATTTGATTGCCACGACTGTTATTCTTTGACATGACCACTTCACAAAATACAACCATGTGCATTGGGGCTGTGTTGCATGAGCATAACACTATATTTGACAGATGTTGACACAGATGGCGTATCCGTTATTTCCCTTCTCTTTCTTTTCGTTTCTTTCTTTGACAACTGAAATTCGTCAAGATGGTATGTGCCGAAAAGTTTTTTTATGAAATTTAATGTAAAAAATCAAAAAACATCAAAGCAAAAGCCTTCCCTAATTCAGAAAATGCCAATTAAGTGATTTAAAATAAATGGCCCTAAAAAGAATTGAGAAAATATTTTATGTGAAAATATGAAGCAAAGTAAATAAAAGCGGTGAAATTAGAAAAATAAAATAGTGCTCTAACAAGAAGATACTCGAGTGGATAAAAAATGTTTTGATTTTTTATGATTGAATTTCAAAGTGTTCTGTGGTGTAATTGGAGTTCCATATACTGACCGATAAATGTTTTTGTGCTATTTTTAGGTAAACGTACCAAAACAACGTCGCACCTTCTGCAAGAAGTGCAAGTGCCACAAATTGCACAAAGTCACCCAGTACAAGAAGTCCAAGGAGCGTAAGGGTGCCCAAGGTAGACGTCGTTACGACAGAAAACAACAAGGTTTTGGTGGTCAAACTAAGCCCATCTTCAGGAAGAAGGTAAGTTTGTAAAATTTTTTGTTGAATATGACATTAAAGGAACAGAAGTCCTGTGTCCAGTATGAAGGCACTCGGCATATTCGTAGAACCAGTTTGCTGTTGTTAAATTATTAACTAGGCATTTTGGTGGGATAAATATATGCCATATTAATGAACCATTTTTTGGTTTGCCATATTTGTAGGGTTTCGTTAATGGGATGCTGTATGGAATATATATCGGCATCTCTCACCTGAAGATATGGACAATTGTTTATTTTTTTTATAATTTTTTATTGTAAATCATTTTTCAATACAATACTAATGACATATTTTCTCTCTTCGTTTTAGGCTAAAACTACCAAAAAGATTGTCTTGCGTATGGAATGCACTGAATGCAAATACCGCAAACAGTCCCCATTGAAGCGTTGCAAACATTTCGAATTGGGTGGTGACAAGAAACGCAAGGGTCAAATGATTCAATTCTAAATTATTCGCCCCACCAGCCGGTTCGTAATGCCTGAAGACGACGACGTTGTTTTTTTACTTCGTGTGTGTACATTTTTTAAGTTGTACAAAATTACATTTTTTGTAATTTTTGTTTAAAAAAACAAAATAAAAAAACCATGAATTTTGAAAACACTCTAATCAAAAAAGAGTGTTTTTGGAGATGAAAAAAAATTAACAGTTGTTTGTTTATATGTCCATAAATTGGAATTCGTTTTAATGGATTGCATTACAATGTATATCAGCTGGAGGTATAAGGAGGACAAGTCGGAGTATGTTACCTTAAAAGGTAAATTCAAATAAAGTTTTATATAAACATTCGAGAGATAAACCCATGTAATAGATATTACATATTTTTGGATACAAAACTGAAATGCATGGAATCGCTTTTTGAGTCGATTTATGCATGTCCATCTGTCTGTCCGTCCATCCAGGTTTTTTTGTGAGCAAAGTGCAGGTCGCATTTATGATCATCTTTGAATGAAATTTGTCACATGCCACTTATTTGGCCCATGGACGAACCCAATTGAAATTGGAGAAAATTGATTCAGACTTAAATATAGCTCCCATATATAGTTTCGTCCGATTTTATGTAAATGGTGCACCAAACACCCAATATTTGTCGCTTGAGACCGAATTTTGCACAAACTACTGAATTAGGCCCAGATTTTTTTTTAATCTATTCAGATTTAGATATAGCTACCATATACATTTTAGTCCGATTTTATGTAAATGGTGCACCAAAATGCCAAGGTTGGTCCGATTGAGACAAAATTTTGCCCAGCCTTCTGAATTAGGTCCAGATTGGTGTATGCAAAGTTTTGTTAAAATCGGTGCAGATTTAGATATATAGCTTCCATATATATTTTCGTCCAACTTTATGTAAATGGTAAATCAAAGTCCCCATATAGCTTTCGATTTGCACGAAATTTGACATAGCGTACTGAACTGAGTATAGAATAATGTGTGCTAAGATTCGTGAAAATCGGTTCAAATTTAGATACAGCTCCCATATATATTTTCGTCCGATTTTATGTAAATGGTGCATAAAAGTCCCCATATATCTTTCGATTTGCACGAAATTTGGTATTGCGTACTGAACTGAGTTTAGAATGATGTATGCTAAGTTTCGGGAAAATCGCTTCAGATTTGTATATAGCTCCCGTATATATTTTCGTCCGATTTTATGTAAATGGTAAATCAAAATCCCCATAAAGCCTCCGATTTGCACGAAATTTGGCATAGCGTACTGAACTGACTTTAGAATGGTGTGTGCTAAGTTTCGTGAAAATCGGTTCAGATTTAGACATACCGCCCATATATAATTTCGTCCGATTTTATGTAAATGGTGAACCAAACTCCCAATATTTGTCCGATTGAGACAACATTTTGCACAGCCTACTGAATTAGGCCCAAATTGATGTATGCGAAATTTTGTTGTAATCGGTTCAGATTTAGATATAGCTCTTTCGTCCGATTTTATGTGAATTGGGCACCAAACTCCCAAATATTTGTCCGATTGAAACAAAATTTTGCCCAGCCTACTGAATTAGGTCCAGATTGGTGTATGCAAAGTTTGGTTGAAATATTTGTCCGATTTTTGCACAGCGTACTCAAATAACTAGAGGTTGACTTTCGTGAAGTTTTGTTGAAATCGGTTCAGATTTAGATATACATAGCTCCCATATACAGTTTTATCCGATTTTATGTGAATGGTGCACAAAACTTTCAATAGTTGTCCGATTGAGACAAATTTTTGCACAGCGTACTGAATTATGGCCAGATTGATGTATGCGAAGTGTTTTTTATTTTTTTTAATAAATCAAGCTTCCATACATAATTTTGTCTAATTTCATTCAAACGCTACTTCTCATAGATTTCAGAATGGTATGTGTACGGGTTGTTTTATATTAGCTCAAATGTCTAAATTTATTTTCGTCTGATTCCATTTTAATGGAGCTCTAAAAATGCTCTGTCTGTTCTATCTACAGGACATTGTCTACATTGTACACATCCCTTGTATGTACCCAAGGTGGTGAAGGGTATCATAAAATTGACCCCGTGCCACTTTTGAAATTTGTATTTGAATTACGTTATTCATCTATCTCTCGGTACGTATTGTATTTTTAATTGTTTTAAGCTTTATATATAGATACTTCGAGGGGCAGACCCATTTAAAATTATTTCACATATTTAGAATTCGAGTTACTGGGCTGCTGCGATAAAAAAAATAATAATAATGAATGAAAAGATAAATCAAATTTTCGAATTGTTTATTTTACACATTTTTTGTATTCTATTTATAAAACATGAGTTTTAAAATCTTTCATTGTAAAAAAAACAATACCATGCCATGGCATCAAATTGTTTGCTCTTATCGTTTCTATTAGACGAACGATCATTTATAATCACAGTAAAAGTATTTGGATAATTTCATACGTTCCTACTACGGTATCAACTTTCATCGGTTGATTCTGCAGGTAAAAGTGTTTGAGGATTGCTGTAAAATATAAAAATATGTTGAAATTAGTGAAACGAATTAGTAAACTAATTGTGAACTGAACATCCAAATCTAAATCAAAACAGCCATGCATTAATAAATTCCTTTCTTTCTACATTACCTTAGAATATTTGCATCAAGACCTTCGGATTGCATTTTCAATTGTACCGCCGGCAAGGGTACACCAACTTGTAACATTTTAAAGAATTTCTTATACAAGCTATGTTCCGATGCTGGAATACCTTGAGGAGTTGGTGTTGCAGCTGGTTGTTCTGCTACATCTTCTTCTTGTTCTGCCGGTGCCTTGTTATTTCCAGGCTCAGTCTTATTACTAACATCGTTGTTGTTATTATTATTGTTGTTTTGTTCCACTGCTGCAGTCTTTTCACTATTGGGCGTTGCTGTTTCTTTATTTTCTACATCCGGAATCGAAGCTAACTGTAATTAAGGAAATTTTATTGAATATTATTTTAAAATATTTATCAAAGCCACTACACATACCTTTGCCTCCAGTATGGTCAAGGCCGCCTCAACCTTTTGAAGTTTCCTCTCCAGTTCAATAAACTTCGTTTCACATTGCAGTGAAAATTCATTGAGGAAACTACAGGAACTGATCAGAAAATGATTGACAAAGGCCAGTATACGTTTCTGATGTAAAGGTGGTAGCTATTGAAAATTACAATAATTGTTGTTGTTAATTTCATTTTTGTATTGAATAATGCATTTTGTTGGGTGATTTGTAATGTACCTGAGTCTTATCTACATTTTGGGTTAGCAATTCGGATGCATCCATATTTTAGGGGGTTTAGCTGTACTTTTTTAATTTCACAAATTCTAAAATGCCCAAATAAAGTAGCAATATTTTTTAAAAATCACTTAATTCTTTATACAATTTTTTACAATTTTTTTATTATCTTCAACATTGCAAATTGTAAACAAAGTCGATCTAACAGCTGTGAAGCTGTTGTAACAACGCCTTGTGTTATACGCGCACTATATAACGTTGTTACACATGAAGGCAAAGCGTACGATACGCAGCATACAATACATTGTTTTTGAGGAGCGGATTTCTCACCTACAGCAAACTTTAACACATTTTATTACAATCCCATTGACTCAGAGGTGGTCAACGACCAGCTGCTGCCACCACAAAAAAAAACATGGGAACAACTCTAGTATAGTAAAAACTATCTGATTTCTTCTGAATTTTTTTTTTTCAGAAGTAGATATTTTTACCCTAATTACGGTATCCGGTTATACCCGGTTTTACGGATCCGATTAATACAAAATATGTTTCGTTTTAAAGCTTATGGAAATACTTTTCCATTAAAGAGTTTATCACAGATCGCTTAGTCAAAAAACTGGGTTTCGGATCCCGTTTTTGCTATAAAACTCCCTAAAATTCGAATTTGGGTCCATTATAGTCACCAACCCCGACGCAGCCAAAATGCTGCGATATGTGGTTGTATCTGTTGTGGATCAAAAAATATGGGCCTTAGAGATAACCCCTTCATATCACCACTCAATGGGAAGGTATTTTTATAAATTAAAATTATACCCATTAATGGGATCCGGGTATAACCGGGTACCCGTACCCGGGTCAAATAACCGAGTATGTGCCCAAGAAACCAATATATCCTCATAATTAGAGCAAAAAAATACCTAGCATTGGGAAAAATCTTGATCGCTTTTACCAAAATAGAGTTAAGCCAATACATGTTCGTGTGCGTCATTATTGTCATAAGAGTGGCTTGCTTCGGCCCTTAGCACCATAGGACCATCTCGGTGAGAAAAGGTGCTTTTTCGAGGCTGCTCTGGACTGAACCAGATCCTGGAGTACTGCGAAAGGAGTTATGTCGGTTCATGCTGTACTAGCACGTCTCAGGAGTAGTCGTCGTCGGTATAAGAGACACCCCCACAGTCTCCGCAACAGCAAAACACTCAGCACCTAACACCGCATATTGCTGTTCCGCGCCTAGAGCATGCATCGTTCTTGCAGTTCACAACAACAGTTCAAGATCAGCGATATTGTGGAGTTTATGATTCTAAGGAGAATAATGGTCAGTGCGATGCAAGAAACTAAGCTGACCCAGAACTGTAGCATACAACGTTGTGCGGAAGGATCATACCAAAAGCGGAGGTGGGGAAGGTGCATTCTTATTACACCATTTTGTCCAACATTTTGCACGGTTAATGAGGATGCCCCCACGAGGATAAGAGGAGATCGCCAGTCATCACCGTTATGGCACCGGCTCTGATAAATGGCATAACTTGGCAACCCGTAATTTCACTCGGCTCAGATCACTTTCCTATCGTCGTCTCCGTCAACAGGCCTCCCGACTTCATAACCTCTAAGCACCCAACTTTCCTGAATCATGGGAAAACTGATTGCCTTGGTTTGTCTCAATTTAGATCGGGCGAGTTTACTTGCGGCAAGTCTTTGTTTGCGGGAGAGAGGGGCAAGGGGAATAGAAATTGAAAAAAATTGCCCGTACCGACAATTTTCTGGCAATTCGTTTTGTGTATTTTGTTTGTAGTGTCAGTAATTTGAAATAACAATCAGAACATTGTCACAAAATGTAAAAAAATATATATTTTTGAAACCGAATTGCCTTGTATAGACGCATGAAGCAAGTTCAAAAAAGAGCGATAAAAATTGCCGCAAGTAAACTCGCCTAATATAAATCAGGACTTTCAGGGAGTTTACCAATAGCCGCTTCATAGAGCTGCCTATTCCCTCAGATTCCCGGGTAGCTGACAGAAATTCGAAGACCAAACCAGCTAAACCGACTCATTTATCGCCGAATTCACTATGGGCACAACTCATTCAAGTTGCAATATATTCTTAAATTTGGGAGATACAGGAAACAGAACCAGGCTATCGATAACCCATATCATGTATTTTGTAGCTACACAACAACATTTTATTATTAACCCGTTCCAGAAAACCCGGCATCGGTTTTCTACACAATAAACCGTAATTTACCATCTAACACGAAAGCAGAAAAATCACATAGTATAAAGAACCTTTTATCCAATAAGAAAACGTCCAAACGCACTTCGGCGTATACTGCATGTCATACGTCATTCAATGTTAATTGGTATGTGTATTGGTATTTCGTTTTTATTTTTTTCTGTTTATTGTAAAAACAGCTGTTTTCTCATTGAGTAAATTTCTCTTTCGAGACACAGATTTGTGTGCAATTACTACAGTACATGAATTAAATAAAGTATTAGTAAATATTTTGTTGTTGTTATATATAAGTCGTTTCGCTCATCTTTACAACCATCATCATAAGTAAGTTAGACTTTCTTACTACTCGTATGACCCACTTAAATAAAGAATAAAAGTAAATATTTTTTGTTTTGTAAAACAAAGCATATTTATGTGTGAAGGAAACGAACAGTGAGGTTGTTATTGAATGTGAAGTGTAAATTACATATTGCGTGCCATTGCAATTTTGTGTTTTGTTTTGTGTGTGCAAGATTAGTCACTTCAGTTTATTCCAGCAATTCGTAGTGTCGTCTTCGGTGGGTGTGGGATTTCATTGTCTTTTGGATTTGGTTTATTTTATTTTTTTATATTAATGTAAGGTAATTTGTGATAAATGATAATGAGACCATCAATATTGAACAAAGGTGCCCATTCATTGTGTATGTGTGTGTTTGGGGGGATATGGGGAAGTACAACAACATAAGGAGGAAGTGTTATTAAAGATTTTGAATGAAGTTATTGTGTTATAATTTCCGTTGAAGTTTCTGGGGAATCTAAAGTGAAATTTTTGGTGTTATTTTTTATTATTGCCACAAAAAAGTATTTAAAAAATTTTAATTTGAAAATTTTTAATTGTGCTCATGGCAAAAGTTTTTTGTTGATCTACTTTAAATGACATCATGCTGCATACATATATCGTCTTTTTAGGATATTAAAAGTAGAATATAAAAAAAAATTAATAATAAATATTTAATGATGTGTTGAAACAAGGTCTTAAGTTGAGTTTAGGGGCTCATCTCCGATTTTTCTGAAAATTTTACCACAGGTAGATTTTGTCTCCCTGATCACGAAAATATGATATTCATGGGGGAAATCCATATTTCCCGAGATATGGACATCTGAATTTCCGGAATTCATATGCTCATAACTTCGACATTTAAGGACCGATTATGGCCGAAGTCTTAAATATTTTGATAATTTTTTATTAAGACGAATATAAGGGAAAATATAATGTGTACGCTTTACAAATACCAAATACAAATATTACCTTCATCGATCCATAAATAATGAAGTTATGGGCATAGTAATTTCGGAACTTCAGAGGACCATATCTCAGAAATTATGGACTTCCCCATGAAAGTCATATATCTTTGTGATCAGATAGACGAGACCTACCTGTGGCAAAAAATTCAGAAAAATCCGAGATAAGCCCCTAAACAAAGCAATGGATGTAGAGAATAGGTATATTTTTGAGGTTGCTATGGACTGCGAAAGGAGTTACGTCGCTTCAAGCTGCGCTAGCACGCCTCAGGAGTCGTCGTCCGTTTTGTCATTCGAATCTTCGTTGGAATACGATACAGCACAGCAGTATCCGCACCGGTAAAACACGCAGCACCTAACACCGCATATTGCTGTTTCGCGCCTAGAGAATGCATCGTTCTTGCAGTTCACAACAACAGTTCAAGATCAGCGATATTATGGAGTTTATGAATCGAAGGAGAATAATGGTCGATGCGATCCAGGAAACTAAGCTGGCCGACGATAAATTTACTGCACCAGAAGCGGTGTATATAACTTGCATTCTTATTACACCAGACCTATCTTGCTTGAGCTAGAACCTAGTGACCCATACCCATTGAATGTAGTCAGTCAAGTGTGCATCTGCCGATGGTAGAGATGCTAAATGTTAATATACTGCCGATGAATAGCTATACACCACCTGTATTATCGGATATCAGTCCGCTTTTTGGAAGGTAATAACCGCCTGGTACTAGGGAATTTCAATGCCCACCATGAGTTGTGGTAATGACTGTACTAGGTAATGACCAGAGGAGTACAGCGCTGGCCGAGCAAATTGATGGCTCAACATTTTGCAAATTTGCATTTTGTTAAATTATGTTTCGATCTGGCAATTCCTCCATATAGAAACGGCTGTTCAAAAAGATGCATCCGCATTTTTTTACAATGGAAAAATAAAAAATGCATGTTTTAATTGAAAAAAATTGCCGATGCGTCTTTTTTGAACACCTGTTGCTATATGAAGGAGCTGCCAGATCGAAAAAAATTAACATGTCTTCATAACAGAGATGGAAGTTTATAAAACACTGAACTTTTTTCTGTTTATACCTGGTTTTTTGTGGTAGGCTAAGAACATTCCGAACTGCCCTCGTATTCGTCGACTATAAAACCCGCATTCGACAGCCCAATGCACTCAGAGGTGTTTAAAGTCATGTCTTCGTTTGACATTACCGCAAAATTAATACGGCTATGCAGGATAACTTTAACTGGCACAATGTCAGCACTTAAATGTCGTAAAGAACTGCCCTCGCAAACCCCATAAAACGCCCCTTCGAAGTGTCCATATGCTAAAGAACTAAGATGAATTTTCCAACCTTTACTTAAATGCTATATTTATTTTTGTTTACAGTGCGTGCAGCAATGGCTCGTAGAACAATGATTTCATCTATAGATGTACCAGATAATCCAGAGGACTTGGATAGTCCGGATAGTATAGAAGTTGGTACACTGACCATACAAGACGCCGAAGCTAAAACGCCACAAAAAGGTAAGTTAGATAATTCAAAGAAACTCGGCAATTTGGCAATTAAAAAGCTTATATAATACATCTGAAATAGGTCTGATATTTATAAAATGACACTTTTATAAACCGAAGAGCTTTTAGAGACATTTTATAGATAGATCCTATATAGAACTTCTATGTACAAAATACTTTATATAAGCCTTCTATAGATAACAGATCTCATATAAGTCTTCTAAAGCCACAAAATATACCAGCATATATTCTTATCCTTATTACTCTTTTAATATACACAAAAATAACATAATTTTGTTATTTCTACAGATCTCTGGGAACGTCCTCCACATTATTTACCCCAAACACTTCCCGCAGATAATACTCCAGTTTTGCAATTTGAAATCCTCTCGGCACGTATTATGCCACCAGATGGTGAAGACTTAAAAGTGAAACGTTATGTCATCTATCAGCTAACAGTGCGACAGGATACACGCACCGCCATCGATCCCCAACCGGCAACAATTGATAGACGTTACACCGATTTTCGTGATATGTATCAAAATCTGAAACGTGATTACCCACAGCAAATGTCCAATATTGATTTTCCAAATAAAGTGCTAATGGGTAACTTTTCGGCATCGCTAATTGCCGAACGGGGCAAAGCTTTTGAAGATCTTCTCATGCATATAGCACAAAATTCTACACTGAGATCAAGTTCAATATTTTTGGATTTTCTACAAAATATCGAATTAACGAAAGCGTGTCAGTTATTAGATGAACGTAATGATGCCTGTATTCCGTTGTTGGAGAATACCTTTATGCTGTTGAATAAAATATTTATGGATCGTTCGAAACCGGTACTGTTGATATTGTGCCGTTTGGTGGCAGCTTGTACCAATTCACCGGTGCCACATCCATCGGCAGAGAAATGGTCGGCATTGGCCCTAAATCGTTATGAGACACTGTGTGATATAGATTTGCTGCCATTGTATATTCCGCTACTGCATACCTGTGCACATTTGTGGTAAGTATAATCAATTATTCGAAATTTATAAAATTAACTTCCTTTTCTTTAATGTTTAATTTTAGGTGGCAAAAGGGTCGTGATCAAAAACCCATCACAGATCGTTTAACTAATATGTCACGTAAGGGCATCAGTATTAACAATAATCCAACATTAATGCAGGCTATACATAAATTAGATCCACGTTCGGAAACTATTTAATATTTATTAACTCTGTCGGAATGTCTGTCTGTCAATGTGTAACTCATAGTTTGTAAGTTTAAAATTAATTGAAATTAAGTGCAATTTAACCAGAAAATATTTGCAATTTTTTTGAAAATATTTATACAACAACTAACACATACAAATATATTTATATAGTAATTATTAGTATTTAGAATTTAGATGAGGTTTATATGTAACACATTTAGCCGCTGTTCACATCATGACACCATGGTATGGAATACTAACATTGTAACGTTTATTTTTGTATTATTTGTTTGTAATAATAAAAAATGAGAGTAGTACATAACTAGTTGCATAAAAATATGTACAAGGTAAATTGAAACTAATTTGGGTTTTTTTCCTTTATTAATATATGGATAACAAGTTTTTCTTTGGAAGACCCGTCTGTATAAAAAGCCAGACCTACTGGGGATAACGACATCTACATCGTAAAATCTCAGAACTGGTGATATACAGTCACTTAGTTTTACACGTTGATCCAATGTGATACCTTTGTTCGTTCAGGATACATTCAAGCCTGTAAGCAAAATTTCGCCAAAGATTTTGTTTATGCAGCCTTACGCTTAATGCTAAGACCCAGAGGTCTTACGTTAAGCATTGCGTGCAAAGCTGCATGTGAGTGCTCCTCGCGGCTATAGTTATAAGAATCGAGGCTGCTCTTTGTCTACTTTGCTGGATGTCGACTTATAGCGCAAGCAATGCCACCAAACAAGAGAACCATAGGAAAGGATGGGCCTTACCACCGTGTTATAAACTAGTGTATAGTCGATGGTTTTAGCACCCAACATTTCCCCATGGAATTCTTGCATGTATAGAGTGCAATCTGGCCTCTCTAAGCCCTTTCCTCAGCTTTCCTGTTCCACCGTAGATGACAGTCCAGGTTTGTGTCGAGGTATTTTGCTTCGGGCGAGAGATGAATCTGCACTAGTTTGGAATGTTACATTACATCTACTTCCGTTGGGGAAATTTCATTGAGGATACATGAAAAATGTGTATTTAAAAATTGTAAAAAAAGTCAAGAAGCTGAAACGCCTAATAACTGGGGCTGTACATTTATATGAACGTTATAGAAAAGTTTCTTGAACTATAACAAATTATCCATTAGAAAACCTCAACGCTTCAGAACAGAACGATTACTCTTTTATAAATTTCAAAAATTATTAATGATTATAATATTTTCTTTATTAAAATATGAACTGAAGCCAACATAGTAAGGAACGAACTTTAAAACAAATCACATTCCTGTCTGAACATTAATTTCTTTTTCAATTTTAATTTTTTAACGTTAAATGGACCCAATGCAACAAATTATCGAAAAAATGTTTTGGAAGATCGAACTATAATTAATAACAAATTCTACTTCTACATATCTCAAAGAACAGCTAACACTGATATTAAAATATTTAAAATTCCCTAGCTTATAAGCAATTCAAAATCTTACAACTACTACTCACTAAATTATATAGAAATTTTCTCTCCTTAATTATTATTGTGTTAAAAATGAACTAGAATTCATTGTACTGGAATTGAGGCCCAACATTGATGTATCCCGCTGTGTAGCAACAGCTGTGCGTTGATATCGAGCAATATGATCCAATGAATGCGGCAATATCGGTCGTACACTATGCATTTCCAATAATGTTAAATTATCCAGTTTAGCATAGGTACCCTCACCACGAATGAAGGCATCAATGGAGGTACGCAATTTGGATTCACGTATATCGAATATATCTTTGATGACAGTGCGTATTTCTTCACACCGTGGTACATCGTCGGGTGCCGTGCTCATAATCAATTGGGCTTCAACCATATAATGTTCACTTGGCATTTTGGTAAAGAATCTGAAAACAATTTAAATCAGGATGAAATTGATTTATAGTATAATTTCCTATTGTTATTACTTGGACCGTTTTTCTTCTTCTTTTATCTCCTCCAGCAGATCCATATCCATCCATTCTGGTGGTACTATACGACATTTTTGTTGTTTCCTCAAATGTATGCCCAACCAGAGTGGAACATGCACTGGCATACCGGCACGAAAGGGACCCACACTACCGGATATAAGATGCAGTGGATCGAAAGAGAAATTTGGAATAACACCAATAATGGATTTTTCTCCAATAAATTCTATAACACAAGGATCCATTTTTATTATTTTTATGTTCTTTGGCTGAAAGCTCCAATCTGCAAGCAGCAAAAAATAAACAAACTGTCGGCGCCAAAATAGCCGATAACTCGCCTAATCGATTTACAAAGAAATTCGATTTACATACATTAAAGGGGAGTACACATTATCAGTTTTCAATGAATATTTACAAAGAAATTACAACAAAGGATTTACTTACCTACAAGCTGGATAGCAACTGTAGGGGAGTAAACATTATCAGTTTTCAGTCAAGCGGCTTTTAAAGAATATTTAAAGGGTTAAGCAGTTTTGGAAACACTCACTTACAGCTATCGGCTGCGTTGGATACCAGGACACCGTGACATCATGGGCAACGAAAAAGCAGAGGAATTAGCTAGACGAGAATCTCAATCTACAGATCTAGCAATCGATTGTTCAATCAAATCACCGATCTATTATATTTTTTTTTTTTGGAAATTTGAGGCGTTCTTCGAGGAACGAGTCAGTGAACTTTGCGATATGTCAAGATCTATCTGTCCTACTTTGACAACCAAGAGAACCAACTCATTGTTGAACCTAAGCAAAGCTGAAATTATAGTCATTATTGGTCATTGTAATATCAGGGCCATTTTCCAGTATATGGGACCTTGATATTACTGATTACCGCAGACTGTGTGGAAGAGACTCCGACGAGGAGGAGACGGAGACATTTGATTATCTCCTGTGTCACTGTCCAGTTCTGGCCTTCAGACGACAGGGACTAGTGGGTACTCAATTTCCTCCGTCTCCAAGCTTCTTTTCAACTATGGAACCTAAACTAACTCTTGTTATTTTACCATGCTCCCAAGGCCAATTCGAAGTGGTTTTTCTTTGAAAAATTTTACCAGTTTTGAGTACGGAAACTAAATTTTCGATTTTTCCTTTAGTCTGGGTTTACACATGCAACTTTTTTAAGCAACTCTGCTGCTGCACTCTACGATTATCTTTTGAATTTCTCCTCCCTTGTCACTTTTTATACCTCTCTCTTCTAAGAACTAGGCAACTCTGCTTACCAAAGTTGCATCTGTAAACCCAGAAATATTGAAAAGTTTTTCCACTATCATCCACAATTCTTCCCTTTTCGCGCTAATATTCATACGCCGTCTCAACATTATACGTTATACGCCATAATTTAATCATTACTAACATACGCCTAACGGAACAAAACAAAAACAGCTGATTAATTGCGCCATTGGTGACGTTTGTAGTTGTAATTTTTTTCTTACCAGACGCGACGCGAAAATTTTTTAATCATTCGAAGAAAAACTAATTTTTATTGTGAAAAACTTTGCGAAAATTGTGAAAAATGAGTGCTACTGAGTTGCCTTTGGAAGCGGCTTCCAAAGGTGCAATGGAAAGTGACAATAAAATACATTTTTCCAAGGAAGTAAAACAGGTCATTGATAAAGTTCTAAAATCAGATGACCCTATGGATGCACCGGATTTCAATTGTGTGGACTACATTAATCAACTATTTCCAAATGAACAATCCTTGGCGACAATTGATGATACCATTCAGCGTATGCAATACGAAGTCTCGTTGATTGATGATAATATCCGTTCTGTGGTTAGGGGTCAGACGAACACCGGCCAAGATGGCCAAATGGCTTTGTATGAAGCCCAAAAAGTTATTTCCTCACTTTACGAACACATAATCGATGTTAAGACACGAGCGGAGAAGACTGAAGAAATGGTTAAAGAAATTACCCGAGATATCAAGCAATTGGATTGTGCCAAACGAAATCTGACATCGGCCATAACAACCCTTAACCATTTACATATGCTGGTGGGTGGTATTGAAAGTTTGGAAAAGTTAATTGAAAAACGATTGTATGGCGAAATTCTAAATCCACTGCAAGCCATTACGGAGGTCAATCAACACTTCCAACAATATTCGGATATTGAAGAAATCAAGACCCTATCACAAAGTGTTGATCGTATACAGGTCACATTGGCCCAACAAATCTCTGAGGACTTCAAGGAGGCATTCTCGCCCACCACAAAATCGCACAGTGGTGGTAACTCCTCCAATCAACCCCGCTTGAGTTTAAATCAATTGGCCGATGCCTGCAAAGTTGTTTCCGTTCTGGATCCTAAAGTTAAAAAGGAGTTGCTGAAATGGTTTATTGCCCAACAACTGGAAGAGTATTTACATCTGTTCCATGAAAATCAAGATATTGCATGGTTGGATAAAATTGATAAACGTTATGCCTGGCTTAAACGACATCTGCTGGATTTTGAGGATAAATTTGGCTCTGTATTTCCCCTCGACTGGGAGGTATCGGAAAGAATAACCGTGGAATTTTGTCGTCTTACACGTGATCAGCTATCACAGATTATGGCTAAAAGAACAAATGAAATTGATGTACGTCTGTTGCTGTTTGCCATCAATAAGACACAAGCCTTTGAGCAATTACTATCGAAAAGATTTACTGGCATAACCTTGGGCATAAATCCGAATGTCACAGAGAAATTAAGCACAGCGACATCAGCAACAAATTCAGATACATCTTCAGGAGATGTCATCATAAATCCTAATTTAGTTGTATTCCATGATCAAATCGGTAGCTGTTTTAAAGCACATTTGGACATCTATATACGTAGTATTGATAGAAATTTATCGGAACTTATTGAGAAATTTGTGGAACAAGTCAAGGAGCCCTTGAAAATTGCTGAGGCTAAGACAACGGTATATCCAAGGTAAGGTTGAATTATCCTTTTTGTTGTGGAATTATTATTAATTTGTATTTTTTTCTTGTAGCTCTGCTGATCTCTTCGTCTTCTATAAAAAGTGCATGGTCCAGTGTAATCAATTGAGTAATGAACAACCCATGTATGAATTGGCCATGGTTTTTAAGAAATATTTACGTGAATATGCCAGTAAAGTTTTAGAATTTAGCATACCAAAATTATTAAGTTCATCGACATCTATTGGTAAGTACATCTTTGTTTTTTTTTGATTTGGTATTTTTTTCATTTCATATGTTAATATTGCATTGCACTTTTCATACATAAATATTACTTGGGAAATTGTTTGTTACCATTTTTATTATATGTTCATTATTTTTGTATGCGACTGTTAGTATTCATCTTTTTTGTAAATATTTGCCTGTACACATATTTTAATTAATGGACTTTTTTAACAAAATCCATCTAATGGTGAATCTCAAAATATCGGTTCTAATATTTGGAAACATTATTGCTCTTTTAAATATATCTTTCACATTTACGCATGAACGATTTTGATATATACAAAACTCATATGATGCTATTATAAGACATATTCTAATTATATTAAATTGCAATCCATAATTAGTATTGAATCGCTAACATAATTTATATTACACATACGAGTATACAGCTTGAAATATTCTACAGAATTTTGTTACACCTATCCACAATGCTAAGAAATTATGAAGTATGTATTTATATATTTTTCAGTTTTTTGTATTAATGTTTATTACGTCATACTCATCTTTATATACCTTCTTCTTTTATAAGTAAAAGGCAAGTTTCTAAGAACTACCAGTGCTTTTGGAATTTAACATACCCAGTAAACATTAAATACCTATATTCCATGAATTATGGAATTGATGTAATCAGCTAAACCCTTTACGATGTACCACATAATTCCACACACATATACATTACCCTTATCATTAATTACACCATCCGTGACTTATATACATGGGTCGTAGGTCCAACGCAATGTTATTAGCTCCTTGAATCTTTTATTGGTATACCCGCTAAATGCCTCCCAACTAATATTACTAATAAGAAATATCATTCAGAGGTTATCAACCTTGGTAGTCAGCTTTATTTTCCAGGGGATTAGTGTATTAATTTTGATTACAAAATATTGTTAAGGATTTGTGATAAAAGCCGAACTTTTTAAAAAATATTTTTTCAAGGATTGGATTTTGTAAAAAAAGTTATTAAAGAGATACATTAAGTATATTTTAATACCCTATACAACTATGTTGTCACGGTGTTATAGCTTTATGCAGCCCCAAGAGTTTGTAACCCCGCGAAATATTGGTCCCAGACCCACCTTTAAGTATACCGATCGTCATATCTCGGCTAGCTGAGTCGATCTAGACATGTGTGTCCGTCTGTCGGTCCATTATAATCTTTTAACACGATACAGGCCACAGTTATGGATCAATCTTCACGAAATTTTGCATGTAGGTTTGGTTCTGGTCAATGAAGACCTCTATTGTTTTTTTTTTTGGTAAAGATCGGTTAATATTTAGGGGATGAAATGGACCAAATACTTAATTTTTGTCCATTTTTCTGGTCGCTCCAGAAGCCGCAATTATGGCCCGAACATTGGGAAAATTACATGGATTTTACAACCAAATTGCCTCCAATTTGAATATTTTCGGATCTTATTGAGTGGTTAAAATTCCTATTACAAATTGTAATAAATATACCCTCCACCATAGTATGGAGGGTATATTAATTTTGTTTTTCCGTTTTAACACATCAAAATAATCATTTCCGACCCTATAAAGTATGTATATTCTTGATCAGGGTAAAATTCTCTGACGAATGTCCGTCTGTTGTAATCACTCTAGCGTCTAAACGAATTGAGATATATAGCCAAAATTTTAGGCATAGCTCCCATATAACGGTACCCCCAATTTTCGGAATTTTTGGGTTCTTGAGAGAGTTTTTCAACCGAATTCGCTGTAATTTGGTATTTTGTGTTATTATTGGTAACAACATTTCTCTACCAAAAATTATAAATATAGGTCCATTTTTTCGTGTAGTCCCCATATAAGGGCACCCCCAATTTTCGGTATTTTTGGGTTCTTGAGCGAGTTTTTCAACCGAATTTGCTGAAATTTGGTACAATGGGTTCTTATTGGGTACCAAATTTCTCTATTAAAAATTATAAATATAGGTCCATTTTTTCGGGTAGCCCCCATAAAAGGGTACCCCCAATTTACGGTATTTTTGGGGTTATGGATAGCGTTTTTCAATTGAATTCGCTGAAATTTGGTATAATGGGTTCTTATTGGGTACCAAATGTATCCACTAAAAATTATAAATATAGGTCATTTTTTTATCAAAATTTATATGGGTAAAAATGCCTGCTCGACATAATCAGTTTTACCCTACAAATTGTGGAATTCTAAGACGATTTAGCCATCGGTTGTAATTATTCCGATTTCTAAGGAAATCGCGATAAAAAAAAAAAACTCGAACCTGATAGTATGAAATATATCGGCCAGCATTTAGGCATCTTCCCCATATAATTATACCTACTGAAGGAAAGGATTGAGACACAAAACAAAAATATTGGGTTCGAAATTTACATATGTCGGTCATTAATTAGGCATAGCCCTCATATAATTATAAACCCAAATATTCGTTAATTCCTACACTATGTAATCTAATTTTGTAATCTAAATTGCAGTAGTTTGATGATTGTATATTCTACTATGCGTTATTAGTATCAGTCCACGCTTAGGGGTTTTCATTAAAAATTGCTAAAATTTGTATTTGGTGTACATAATGGTTTATACAAACCGGTTTATAGAATTATCGGTATATGTCCACTTTTTGGTTTGTTCTCCATATATTAATTTCAAGTACCTTTCTGTGTACCAATAGTGGAGGGTAAACAACGTTTGGCCCGGCCGAACTTAACACTTTTTCACTTGATATTATTTTTGGCCAATGGTAGGCTGAAGTTGTGCAAAGGTTCCCACCCAAGGATGTTGTGCTAAGGTCTCACATGTTACTTGTTTACTATCACTTTTTGTTATACATGTTAATTATTGTTTACTTTTATTGGGTTTGTGATCTGAAAAAAAAATCTGTAAAAAGTTTTTGTACAAATTTTATGGTGTTGTGTTCATTTCAAGTTCATTTGTTTAATCTATCACAATTTTGGCATGCACTTAACAAATTATAATAAGGCTCATTATTAACACTTATATCACCTATCGCTTGAATTCAATACCTTACGCCTGTGTTTTATTTGTAAATACTATTTCTTTTAATTTTTTTTACACTTTTAAGTTCTGTGTTTAATATTCGTTTTTGGTGTTTTGTGTTGAATTGTGAAAAATTTTGTGTTAATAAAAATCCATTACTCATAACCTTGGCACTGCACGCACATCCATTAAAAAAAAGTGATATTTATTTAATTAATTTATAAAATAAACTATTAAACAGGCAAAAGTATGTCTCTACTGACAAGAGATATGCAAAATCTATCGACCGCTGCTGGCCAAGTTATACATAATTTCCTAAAGGAAGGTGATGCTCAACGATTTTCACGTGACGATTTAATACGCATATGTTGTGTATTGACCACCGCCGAATACTGTTTGGAAACGGTGCAACAACTGGAGGAAAAACTAAAAGAAAAAGTAGCCACTGCCTATGCCAGCAAAGTGGATATGTCTGAGGAAAGGGATGTCTTTCATCGGTATGTAAATGTCTCCTAAAAATGATAATTTGTATAATTTGAAATTTTATTTCCATTCCCCCAACACCCACAGCATAATCTCCAATTGTATACAACTTTTGGTACAAGATCTAGAAGCTGGCTGCGAACCCTCACTGCAGGCTATGGCCAAGGTGCAATGGCAAAGTATTAACAATGTCGGTGATCAAAGTGCTTTCATTACCAGCATATGTGCAAATTTCAAACAAACCGTACCCATTCTGCGTGACAATTTGGCAACCTCACGGAAATACTTCACCCAATTCTGTCATAAATTTGTAAATGTTTTTATACCGAAATTCATAAATGTCTTGTACAAATGTAAGCTGACATTATCCGATGGTTCAAACAACGTCTTGGGATGTGAACAATTACTACTGGATACACATAGTTTGAAGACAGCTTTATTGGATTTACCATCGATTGGATCGAGTGTTAATCGTAAAGCACCAACATCCTATACAAAAGTTGTAGTTAAAGATATGACACGTGCTGAGATGATCATCAAGGTGGTAATGACACCAGTACAACCACCAGCACATTTTACACAACAGGTGTTGAAATTACTGCCCGACATAACCATTGCAGAATATCAGAAAATTCTAGATATGAAAGCGGTAAAACGGGTAGATCAATTACAGCTTATAGATCTGTTTAAGCGTACCGCCTCAGCTGCGGCATTTGCTGGTCTAAATGAAAATTCCGAAACTGATGGAAATGCAGCGGATATACCACCAGCTGCTGCAACCAATTCTGTTAACGAGGATGTCACAACAGATAATTTAATAGCCGATGCAACATCAACAGAAAATAATGTTTCAACAAGTGGTCCATCAGCCTCAACATCTGCCATTGGTTCTACATCAACACCGAAAAGAGCTTTTATTTTCAGTGTGGGCAGCTTCACTGGCGGCGGTAGTAGTGCTGAAAAGTCATCGGATGGTACATCACAGGCTGCTGGTGGTGATCGTAGTCGTATACGAAAATTAGAAAATCTGTTAAAGAAAAGATTGCCATAATTTAGATTTTTTTCTTTCTTTGTTTTCTTTTTCCTGGTATCCTGACCATGCAACATTCCATTATATTATTATGTTTTAAGACATTTTTGTATTAATATTTTTTTAGTTTAAATTATACATTTTTTCATATTTTGTTTACATTGTGCAATGCGAATAAAGAAATAACATAAATTATTATATATAAATGTATAAGCAATAAGGTGTCATTTTATATTTCTGGTAATGAGGTTTCCCGTTGGAAATTTTTTTTAGGAAAATTAGCCGCTAAGCTGGAATTGGTTTCCGTCCTCCTTTCTTTAATTAAGGTCTGTTGTTGTTGTAGCAGTCTTATTGCTTTTACACAATGGGTTCAGGTGACAGACGTTGGCCGAGTAAGACTCGGGTCGTATCGTAGACCCCTCTATCGTGGGAATGATTTAAGTTTGTAGATTTCATTGCTGTATTCTTCTTCACATTTTAATTCTATAAAACAGTGATATATTGCAGCCGGTACTGTATTTAATGGATATAAAAATTAATAGCCAGTAATTCATTCATTCATTGTTCATTTTATAACTGTAATCTTATAGATAATAAATTGTATACACATTGACCAAATTAAACATGGGTTTCATCAAAAACTGGTTATAGACCTAATTCGGAGTAAATTTAGAGTTGCTCATCGAAAAAGCTTAATTTTTCATATAAAGTTTCCTAATAAGTCTAGTCCTAAAATAAATCATATAGGTAATCCACTTTTGATACCTCGCCAATTATCGGTAAACATTTTTATATCCTCCACCATGTAACGCATCAAATAATAATTTTCGACCCCATAAAATATATATTCTTGATCAGCGTAAAATTCTATGTCTGCATGTCCGTCTGCCTGTTTTAATCACTCTAGCGTTTAAACCAATTGAAATAGATTGCCAAAATTTTGCATAGATTCGTCTTTTGTCAAGTTCGAAGATGGGCTATATCGGTCCACGTATAGGCATAGCCACATATAACGGTACCCCACAATTTTCGATATTTAGGTATTTTGGAGCGAGATTTTCAACCGAATCCGATGAAATTTGGTACATTGGGTTCTTTTTGGGTACCACTAAAAATTGGCCCATTTTTTCGAGTAGCCTCCATATAAGGATACGCCCAATTTTCGGTATTTTGGGGTTCTTGAGGGCGCTTTTCAAACGAATACGCTGAAATTTGGTACAATGGGTCCTTATTGGGTACCAAATATCTCCACTAAAAATTATAAATATCGGTCCACTTTTTTTCGTTGTCCCCATATAACGGTACGCCCAACTTACGATTTTTTTGGGTTTTAAGCGCGTTTTTCAACCGAAATTTCGCTGAAATTTGGTACATTGGGTTCTTTTTGGGTACCAAAAAATTACTAAAAATTATAAATATCGGTCCATTTTTTCTGGTAGCCCCCCTATAACGGTACTCCCCAATTTACGTTATTTTTTTAAACGAATTTGCTGAAATTTTGTACATTGGGTTATTTTTGGGTACCAAATCTCTCCACTAAAAATTATAAATATCGGTTCACTTTTTCTGGTAGCCCCCATATAACTGTACCCCTTTGTACTTTTCGATATTTTGGGGTTCTTGAGCGCGTTTTTCAACTGAATTCGCTGAAATTTGGTACACTGGGTTCTTATTGGGTACCAAATATCTCCACTAAAAATTATAAATATCGGTCCACTTTTTCTAGTAGTCCCCATATAAAGGTACGCCCAAACTATTTTTTTTTGGTTTTAAGCGCATTTTTCAACGGAATTCACTGAAATTTGGTACATTGGGTACCAAATTTCTCCACAAAAAAATTATAAATATCGGTACACTTTTTCGGGTAGCCCCCATATAACGGTACCCCCCAATTTACGGTATATTAGGGGGTTCTGGAGCGCGCTTTTCAACCGAATTCATTCAAATTTGAATATAGGCTCATATTTTCGATAGTCCCCAATTTTCACCATTGAAAACGTTTGACGTAAAGAGAAAAAAGAGAACGTGTGTTTACCTATCGACCCTCAGTTAGGGTATCGTATAAGGGTAAACATGCCTGCTCGAAATTGTCAGTTTTACCCTAGAACATATGGAATTCTAAGACGATTTAGCCATCAGTTGCAATCATTTCGCTTTCTAAGAAAATCGTGATAAAAAACTCGAACCTGACGATAATGAAATATATCGGCCAGCATTTAGGAATCTTCCCCATATAATTATACCTCCTGAAAGAATGAATTGAGACACAAAACTAAAAAAAATATTGGATTCGAAATTGGCATATGCCGGTCATAAAATATGCATAGCCCTCATATAATTATAACCCAAAATATTCGCTAGTTTGAGGATTGTATATTCTACCCTGCGTTATTAGAATCAGCTCACGCTTTAGAGTTTTTATTACAAAATTGCTGATATTTGTATTTGGTGTACACAATGATTTACATAAACCGGTTTGTAGAATTATTGGTATAGGTTCACTTTTTGGTATTTTCACTATATTTTCATTTCATGTATCTTTCAGTATACCTATATGGTATCCAAAGTTCGGTGGGTATCCAAAGTTCGGCCCGTCCGAACTTGATGCTTTTTCATTTGTTTTTGTAAATTTTAAGCCAACCAATTTTTACCCCCCAAAACATTTTTTTAAATAAAACTCATGGTTATATGTTTTTTTTTATACAAAAAGTCTTCATTCATTTTTCCAAGTTACGTCAAAGACGTTACAACATATTGTAATGTTAATAAGTGTGTTGGTTGGTATTGTGTTTTGCTCTTATAATTAGGCGTTTCGTTCGATGATAAAGATACATAATATATTTTGTTATAGTATAAAAAGTATATGTAAGTATATAATAATAATACAAATACATGTGCGTTACATAGCTATGACTATTTTCCTTTTATAGAAAGAAAAAATAAAAAAACAAATTTACATTCGTTGATGATCAAAAAATTAAAAAAATAAAAATTAAATTAAATAATAATGATATTTGATTTTGAAATACAGTCAAATCAAGGTTATAATGTAACATTTTTGGATTATTAGAATTAGAATAAAAATTACATTATTAGAATAAATAATCCTTACAAATACCATTATAACCATGATTGACTATTTGTGAAATGATAAATGGTTTATGAATGCTATTTTCTTCTTTCTTTTTAGTTCTTGTTTTTCGTTTTTTCTTAAAAAAAATAAAAATTAAACAGTAAAAAAATACAAACTACCAGAGTTGTCATTAAATGTGTATACTACAGGTGTATGTGTATGTGTATGTGTGAGTGAGAGTTGTTGTGTTTTTGTTTGTGACATCTATCAATCATTCAATCAATTTTGTGTAATACTTTTTATCTTTTGAGAGAGCATTTTTTCTCTTCTCCTCAAAGAGAAAAGAAGAAAAAAAGCGAAAGACTTAAGACACAAACTTTATTTCTTTTGAAAGACCATTTTTTTCTCTCCAACTTAAAGGGAAGAGAAGAAAAAAATCAAAGACTTAAGACATAAACTTTATTTCTTTTGAGAGACCATTTCTTTCTCTCCTCCTAAAAGAGAAAAGAAGAAAAAAAGAAAGACTTAAGACACAAACTTTATTTTTTATAGAAAAAACAATGATGTTACTGATGATTTTGTTGTTGTTGTGAAATTTGTTAACTTTTTCAAAATTGTTAACAAAAAATATGTTAATTTGTGGTGTTTTGTGTTGTTTTTGTTTACTCCTTTGGTTTAATTCCAGCACATATATTTTTTGATTGTTTTTTTTTTAATTAAAACTCTCATTTTCTTCAACTTTGCAATTCTTTGTCGGTTTTTTTATAAAGAAAAAAAACTTAAAAATGTAGAGTTGTTGTGGTTTTTCTGTTGTTGTTGTTTTGTTTTTTGACTTATAATTAAAATAACTATTCGAGTTGACTAAAATGTGTGTGTCTAAGATATCTTCTTTGAGCTATCGCCTAAATGAAGTAACCTCCAAGGATTACTTTGGCGAAGCTTTTCAATCTTTTTTGCTTTGTTTTGTTTTTTTTTTTGTTCTGTGATTTTTGGTGTTTTGCTTAATAACAATGGCTTACAAATAATGTTTTTGTTGTTGTTAATATTTACATTTTGTTTTGTTTTCTCTAAATGCTAATTTAAATACACAGTATTTATATATGAATAATTAATATAAGAAATATAAAAATAATCTTATTTTAAACGGCCACAATTTTACTTGGATCCACTTTGACTCTCAAAAATACCGTATCATCTTTGATGAATGGCCTCTTATAGAGCAGATCATGTGAAATAAATCGTGGGAAACCGAAACCCAATTGATCCGGTTCATTTGAGGGCCTTTGGAAATTCTCCCATGTTGGATCGGGTACAAAAGACTCAGCAACACCACCCTGACCCGATTGGGCACCCTGTTCGAAAAGCGTGAAAGTGATGGAATGGGAGAAGGGCCATTTGAGTAGAGCATCATATTCACCAGGCAACACCTTAATGTACACCGAGACATGAGTATTTTCCCCGGGGCCATTACCATTTAAGAACATTGAGGCTTGCAACTTGTAACCATATTGAGATGTATAGAATGGTGGTGAGACAAGTTCCAAACCATCTTTACCCTTGGCCTCAGCCATTTTGGAAGACCAATCAGTGATTTTCCACAATAGGGTACCGGTGAAGTTGATGGACAATTTTGAAACGGCTGATTTAAGCATTTGTATTTGTTGTCCCTGGCGGGCAGAGAGGGCCACCATTAACGAGAGGTGGGCAGCAGCATTTGCCTCCAAATGGGCCTCCAACAAATGGCGGGGACCCTTGAAACGGCAACCGGCCTCCTTAAACGAACATGCAATAGCCAAGGCCTTACATTCATCTCGCAAATGGGCTTCCAAATCAGCTCGAGCAATGGGGCCAACATCACACCTCTGGGGACACACAGTTGGTGCCCGGGGACATTGATTGGCATGCAGCGCCAAAGTGTCGGCAGAAAATTCTCTATTACAATGTAAACAACGTCTCAAACGTTTTGTACAATCTTTGGATTTGTGTAGAGTCATGCGTCCGCGCAATACCCGTTGGCCACATTTCGCCTCACAATAGATGGGTTCTTGGCCACAGGTGCCGGCATGTTCTTCCAAACCGGCTCCGGAAAATTCACTTTGGCAAAATTCACATTTGGTGCGACGCATTGTACAGGTGTATTGTAAATGATCGGTCATCATAATGCGTGGTATCTGGGCTCCACATTTATTGGGGCATTGGGTGGCATCGTGTTTGCACACATTTAAATGGGCCTGGAAAGGAAACATAAAGAAGGAGATTATTAGTTGGATTTTTTCAATAGAAATAAAATTAATAATGAATTAAAGCAATTAGAAAATTTTCATTACAAAAATGTCAATGCCGATCGTTGGAATATTAAAAAAAAATAATTTTAATTAAAATTTTTTTGAGCACACTTTTCAGGCGAATTCGCTGAACTTGGTACATTGTGTTATTTTTGGGTACCAAATGTCTCCAATAAAAATTATAAATATAGGTCCATTTTTCGGGTAGCCCCCATATAAGGGTACCTCCCAATTTTCGATATTTTAATTTTTCTTGAGCGCGTTTTTTCACTTGTTTGTTTTTATTCCATGTGATGGTAATTCAACTTTAATTGCTTCTTTAGAACTTCCCCAAGAAAGAAGAAGACTTTCAAAACTTCAAATATTTTTACTTAAAATTCTATTTGATTCTTGGAATACCGCTTAAGGAAGTTGTGGCTTTTTATGGACATTAAAAAAATGACAAAAGAACAAAAATAAAATGGTGATAATAATAAAAAAAGCTAACCAACATTAGTAACAGTTATTAAAATGGAGGAAGTAGCGGCCAGCCAGACACCAGAACAGGTAGTATGACCTCTTAGACATTTTAACTTAATGTTTTAATTTATGTTTTTTTTATTTTTTTTTTCAACTTACCTTTAGTTTACGTAATTCATCCGACCAAGTGCAGCCCTGTTTGTGATGTATGCAAAAGACCAAAGAACCCATTATGGCTTGTTTTGGATCAGGACCGGGGTAAATCTGTAAGAAGAATAATAAAAAACAAAATGATTAGAATAATTTATAGTGAGAATTTAATTTTTGAAAAAATAAACCTTAAATTTACGAAAGTTTTTTGTTATTAAATGGAATAATGAATTCATTTTCAGATTCTAAGTCGATGATGAAGATGATGATGTTGTCTTAAGGAAATGGAGTGATTTAATGATTGATGTTAACTAAAAGGCAAGGAGTTTTATACAAATTGAAAAAGTATGGAAAAGGTCTTGTTAATAACCAAATTAAAGTAGGTCGGAAAATAAGCATTGTTACCCTTTGCAAATAAACAAAACATCGTATTTTACCCTTTACACAAAATAAGAAAAACAATTTGATGTTGTGTTTACCCTTTGACTCAAAAACAACAAGTTAATGATTTTTGCCTGCCTTAACAAGAAGAAGAATACCCAGAAAATTTGTTTATCGTTTCAAATTTTGTTCAAAATTAAAAACAAACTCTCCGCCAAACTTTTTTCGAACACCGTTCTAAACTCTAAGGTCTGTAAGTATTTACTAAACAAAAAATAATATTTCTCAAATTTATTTTTGTTTTCATTCACATTTATTTTCTACTCTCTCTACAGGTTTTCCATCGATTTCTGTATGTTGTGTGCGTTGGGCGCCAGGGAAAACAATCAACAACAACGGTACCTTTGGTCGTCTGCTCTTCCATTACAAAATCAAACATACATGAAGCATGACAGCAAAATAATAATAATAACAACAACAACAACACCGACGACGACTTCAAAACGGAAATAGAATCAATAATCAAAAAAGTGCTTATAGAGAGAGAGAGAAAGGAGGGAGCAACAACATTCCCGAAGAAAAACGAACTTTTTAATAAAGTGGTCATAAAAATGTTCCCTCCTCCCTTTTAAATTTTTTATAAAATTTAAGCATAAAAATGTTCCCCTGACCCCTACTTCTCTCTGTCTTGAAATATTTATATATCAAAAATGTCAATGCTTAAAGAGAAAAAAGAGAGGGAATAATAACATTCCCGAAAAACAAACTTTTTATTAAAACGATCATAACAATGTTGCCCCCGCCCCGTTGAATTGTTTAAAAAAAAATGAATTCATAAAAATGTCCCCCATCCATTCCCTCTGCTTCTCTCTGTTTTGAAATATTTTGTTTAAACTTGCTTCAATTTTTATTGTTCTTTTTTCCATATTTATTTATTTATCTTTTTTGTAAAAAAAAAGAAAAGAGTCGTCCCCCTTTTAATTTCTGCATAAAAAAACCCCAAAGAACTTTTCAGCATTAATGAATTAACGAACTGATGGCTGGTTGACTTGCTGGCTGGCTTGTCAACATCCGGTTTGATTAATGTCAAGTATTTTATGATTTTCAATTACACTACCCTATCCCCCTATGCAATTTGTCACTCACTTCCCCTCTCCTCTTGGGCTTCTAGGAATATAATTATAACAAAGATAAGAAACATGGAAATGTTTGTACGAAAGGGGTAGACCAAGTTTTTTCAAAACATGTCTTGCAATGTTGTTGTTGCTGTCTTGAACTCCTTTTATTTCAGTTTTAATATTTTTTGCCAAGTAATTAATGTAAATGAACAATTTTATTGTCAACCCTAGGGCTACCCAACTGAAAGGTCACATTTTTTGTCAATTAACATTTTTATGCCGTTTTTATGTAATTTTTTTATAAAGCTTGACAATTTTTTTAATCGGTTCCGGTTTTTTAAATGGTTAACGTTTTGTTATAAATATGGTCCCTTAATATTTTTGTTATCTAATTAGTTTTTAGTTTAATTAATTTTCTTTTCGGACTTGAATTATGAAAAATTTAAGATAATTTTTTGTAAAACAAAAATGTCAACAGTTTTTAAATACTTTATAAAATTTTCCAATATTTTTTTTTAATTTCAAATTTATTTACCATAAAATGCCCACCAATTTCGATCAATCTTTGATTTTTCACAATGGGTTTCGGTTTAAGTTAATGGTAATAAATGGTCAGCAGTTTTTCCCCTAACTGGGCTTTCAATATATGAAGAGGACCACCATTAATACAACCAAGGCCGTCTTACATTTGTTTCTCAGATGGTCTTTCTTATACTAAAAATTTGTAAATGCGTCTTTTCCGTATGTTAAAAGCGCAGTACCAATGTTACAACCCGAGTTAAACTGTAGTTATCAATTAAAAGCCCCCATATAAATGTCCCTATCAGTTTTAGGTATTTTGATGCCCGTTCACCTTATAGTGAAGGGTATAACAAATTCGGCCTGGCTTCTATACTTTCCATTCTAAATTGTTATCTCAATTAAGAACAAATTGTTTGATAAACTTGTATTAATTGACAAACCATTAAATCCTCCCACAGAAAAATAAAATATATTTGCAAATTGTTAACAAAAATATTCCAAAACACTTAAAACACTCGTCAAGATTTCCTGATAATCCAACAACAATAACAAAATTATGTCTCTAATGATTTGCTTATTAACAAATCCCAAGTGGCCAAAAAAAAAAAAAACACACACACACAAAACAAAAAAATTGTTTAGCTCCTCAAAAACTTGGCATGGGTCTTATTTGGCGGCGGGCAATAGCATTTGACTTTGTCTAGCTAGTTGCCTGGCTGGCTGACTGTCTGGCTTATTAGACACAACAATATCTTGTTTGTTGTTGTTGTTATTATTATGAAAACTGCTGCTTCTTTTTTTCTTCAAAAATATTCCGATCCGTTATATTCTTGAAAAAAAAAATAAATGAAATACATTGAAAATGAATTCTTCCCCCTGGATGGAATATTATGACCTACTCGTCTCTCCCGGTGTGTTTGTTATTTTTGTTTGTTTATTCGAAATTAACAAAAATAAAATTGTTTATTTAAAAAATTGTGTGTTTGTAGTTTTCTTACAAAGCTTGGCATGGGTCTTCTTCCAAACAAACAAAAGAAAAAAATGTGATAAGTGCCTGTGCCAGATAGCAAGTTTTTTTTCGGGAGGATTACTGCGGCTGCGGTTATAACTCGTGGCTGATATCTTTGCTCGACACTATTCTCCATACAAATGGAGGTTACTACTGACAACACAAGCTTCCATTTAAAATTAATGCACGTGGTCTCAAGTTTTTTTTTTCAATTTGGGAGGGTTGGGGTAACAACACACAACAATGCCTCTTCTTTCATTACCAAGAAGTGAGGTTGTTTTTTGGAGGTGTTAAATTTCCCATTTATTGATAATAATGTGGAAATTCACCAGTAACCCTATAACCATTATTTAATTTTTTTATTTATTTATTGTATACTTTAACAATTATTATTGCCCAATGAAAATTATGTTGTATTCTAAATTTAATGGCTGTAATTATTAACATATTTTAGTGAATTACAAATTAAATGCTATTCGGTTTGGCCTGACCAAACAAATTAGCATCTGGTTATTCCCACGTTAATCATGAATGAAATTTTATATCTTTCTGTGTTTTCCAGTAGTGTGATCTTTTTTATCTTGTATCTTCTTCTTTGGGTTACATTTTATTTCTTTGATACCTGCCAGAATCTCTAAATGTGTGTTTTTATTGTTTGTTCTGTAAGCTTAAGGAGAACTGGTTAGTTTTTTCTGGTGATACATTTTAATATCACAAAAAAAAAAAAACATGATTATTCATGTTGTGTATTCACAACATCCGGCGTGGCGTGTTCATCCCAAAATGGAAAAATATATATGAAATGAAACAGCTGATATTTCATCATAAAACATAAACAGGTTACAAAATTTAGTGAGGCTAATTAGGCGATTTTTTAATAATATAAAAAATCCATAAAAAAATATTTTTAATTTTTTTTTATTTTAATTTTTTTATTTAACATTTTTTTATTTTATATTAAAACAATTTTTCGAAATTTGTCATGACCCAAAATATAAATATTAACGCTCTAATTTTTCAATATCCGATATTTTATTTAAAAAATCTTTATTTTTCCTTTAAACGCCAAAATAACGCTTCTTGTCGGAAACACTCGCATTATATAAATTTCAATTTTTTTTAAATAAAATAAATTAAGAATATTTGTAAATGCAAAATAATTTTCGATAGACCAAAAAATAAGTATTAAACCTCTAAATTTGTTTTAAATATAGCCTATTCCAATTTGTTTGATACAGAAAAAGCGCCAATATCTCTACAATGGGGTTTCCCACATCCGATCATTTATCAGTATTAAATACATTTTCATTTTATTTAAATGTGCTCTCTAAAAACGCTATATTGGCTTTACCCTTTCCCTAATGGTGCTTTTCCAAGAAATTCTTAAATAAATAGCAATAAAATAAAATTCAAATCCCTAAATATAACTAGCGACCTACCAAAAAATTAATTTTGCGCTTGAATGAATTTAATTTTCTTTATTTATCCCATTAAATTATTTTTCTGTCTGCCAAAAACCGCCGAATTAGCATTACTTGTTGTGACTTTGTTAAGCTTGGCTTTGGTCCCCTTAACATTCATTCAAAAACATGTTTGTTTCATCGTGCAAGACTAAAGTCTACTCTCTCAGCTGTCATATTCCCCATGCACACACACACAACACACCACAAGAACAACAACAAAGCAAAAAACAAGTTTTTATTTCACGAAAGAAAAAAAACAGCTGATCTCTTTAATTATTAAAGGTGATTTCTACGGAACGCCTCACAAAAAAAAGAATACAAAAAAATAATTTTTTTGAAAACCAACAACAACAACGTTTAAATTTTTTCTGCAACAAAATTAAATAATCATTATTGATTCAAAACCAAACAAAAGAAGATTTAAAACAGCTGTGGCAAAAGGAAATCATTTCAATAGCAAGCAACAAAAATAGCAACAACAACAAGTAGGGGCCATTGCAAATTGCCGTCTTCTTTTTGTGTGCCGAAACATGATTGACAGCCCGACATTGCTGCAAAAGAAAATTCTTTTAGTTCCCAGGTATAGAACAAAAAATAATGCTCTGCCTGCTACCTAGGCCA